GTATGACTAGCCACATGATAGAGATCCTGATGTGTATCTGCCAAATGTGCCAGGTTGCAGCACAAGTCTCACACTACCCATCAACTTATCCCCAGTGAAACACAAAACCTGTTGAGCGCTAGCTAGCTCAGAGCTTCCTGGTCCCTCTGCTTCAGGCAGGAGGTCTTGTCACTTTGCAAATGGGTGAGAAACAAAGGGCAAGAAAACAAAGCAAATGGAGCACAACAACATAAAGATGTTTCATAGCTTGGAGGCATTCTGGGTGGATATTATTCAGCATACTTGGACTGCATGCAAGAGGGTGGTCAGAGAGTCTCATGGGGAAGAAGCTTAAGCAGCAGCTCCACAACAAATACAGGATCCTGAGCCAGAGATTTCTAGTTTGACCCAGCCTGGTTTATGTTACAGATATTCTGGAATTCCAAATTTCAATGGAATGACTCGCCTGTTTCCAGAGACTCAAGAAAAATCAAAACACTCAGTGTGTCCCGGTTTTGATTCTTACATACAGATCAGGTAAGATCTGTTAACCACTATGATTTTGCTTTGTTCCACGAATAAACTGTCACACAGCAATCTGATGTCATTGATTTCCACAGCCAAAGTCAGAACACTAAGAGAAAAGGCTTAAGAAAAAAAGAAAACGTACGCCACCCCTCCAAAACAAACACAACAAACCTACCAGACACACTACCACAGTCTCCCTCCTGAAGGGGAAAAGAGTAATTCAAGTCCTGCCTCTGACTGGTTTGTACTCTCATGCAGGTTTGTACTCACCTGAACTATCAATTCCAATCTGGAAACCAAGCCTGTTTCATTGTCACTTCATTTCAGAAACATACAAGTTTCTTGTTAGCCTCAGTCCTGAGAAATACAACTTAAAACAACAAACCAAATAGATCTAGCATGTTCCCTGTGGAGTAACACACAGCACTTACCTTCACCACTAAAATACATTTCCCCAAAACACCCAGTATTGCTAGTCTCCAATTCGTTACTGCTCTCTGACAAACAGCTGTGCCACCTACAAGGAAGCACAGATCTCCTACATCAAGCTTGTTATGGACTTTTGATATTTGTATTCAAGCACGGGAAGGTTGAAGTCCAACATTCATACAAGGATGTGAAATCAACATCCAGGTTAGTTTAAAACTAGGTAATACATTTATGCAGATAGGGGTGGGGAGTTAGGAATCCTTGGAGTACTATACAGCAGCTATTAAACATTTAAAGTGGATGACAAAATGCACGCATTCCATTTAAATTAGAATCCTTTGATTTTTTTTAGGCTCACTCACCAAGATAACTACAATTTAACTAAAACTCCACATAGTTACAGCTAAGTTGTATAAAGATGCATCAGCACAAAACCAAGGAAAACAGGGAAATTTTTAACCATCTCAGCTACATAATTCTCCATAAAATATTCAATGTAACTCCAGGTACCATATTTTATTCAAACTCTCTGCCAAACAAATCTCTGCTTCTGTACTTCTTAAAACTGATTTATTACTGCCAAATACATTAATCCGCATGTTAATCTGCCTCAGGTCACTTAAAGTTAGTCAGAAAGGACTTTTGTCAAACCATATACAATGTTGCTTTTGGTCCTCCTGGGAGTTTGAAATCAGAGCCTGGGAGAGATCCTCTACAACATAAATATTACAGCATGAAAACAGCAAGGAATGCAGAAGCCTTTTCCTGTAATCCATTTCCATTTTCTCTGCTTCACTTCATGGCATGTTGTTAAAGCCTAAAAGTTTCACTACATGAAGGCAGAGTTTATCTTGGTATCTTGTGTCACTGGAGTTGTAAAGCATAGAGCACTCACATGCCAGCTTCAAACTGACATTCACTGTACTCCTGCAGAGGGGGAAAGGTTGGCAAAGTTATACAACCTACTTCACCCATACTGCAAGTAGTACACAAGACTGAAAAACAGGCTCCAACATTACAAGTATTAGATTATATACAATAAGTGCTGGTAACATTTCTATACAAAGTCATATACCAAACAGTTTAAAGCCTTCCAATTGTACGTCTTTCTTAATCAGTATTTTCAACAGAAAGCAGAACTGGTTTTCACAAACAGACCACATGCCTCCTAATATAACCAATTCTTTAGACAACTTACCAAATGACCCAAGATTTTCAGCACAATAGAATCAGAAGTTCAAAGATGAATAAGGACAGTTGGACAATCACTGAAGAGAAGCAAGTTTGGCATACACATCTTGCAAGTTTGTTAGCAACTGGATCACCTTGAGCACAATATGCTGATACAGGTCTATTACCTGTCACATCCCCTGAAGCAGCAGTCTCCAATGCAAGCAGCAGTAATGCATACATTCTACACCTTTCCTTTTTATGTCTGCCTAGTGATTAATTTTAAGTGCCAGTAATTCTCATATACTCCATCATTAGCATGACTAAATGTCACTCTACAATAGGAATTATGCAGCTATGCTTTGGTTAACCCCAAATACCACCACTGTTACCTGTGACTTTGAATGCTGTAACAAACAATATCCTTACAGACTGTTCATTGATTACAAAGACATTACTTAGAATATCACCCAATTCAGGAGTCCCTTTGGCTTGAAATGAGAAAGTGTTCAAATATTCTGCTCCCTCAGAACAGGATCTCCAGGAAGCGAGCACCGAGTTTTAAGGGAGTTGTAAGCTCCAAAGCCTCTCAAACGGTAGTAAGATTTCAGGTGGTACTACAAGAACTATTGTATATATTACACTGCTAAAAGGACAGAAATGTGGAACAATACCTTTTCAAGGATGACCTTAGACTGGACAAAACATTCATGTAAGTCTCGCAGGCAGATAAGCCCTCAGGCACTAACATAAATAATGAACTACTGAAACAGAGCCAAAACATGAGTTTTCAGAGGAAAACAGTCATGGGTTCTGTGATCATGCTTTGTTTTTCACAATGACTTTATTGTGATGTGTACCAAGGGGGTATTTGAACTGGCTGACTGATACAGAAAGAGTCAGCTGGAAAGGGCTTACATGGAAAAATTAAAAACTAATGTCCTTCTGAGAAGATCTAGTATCACTTTTTCAATAGCATTTTAAGGCTCTGCTGCTCAAAACCCAAAGCGGACCTAGGTTACTGGCAGTCATGCAGAGCTGAACTGCTATGTCATAGAATGGTTTCAGTTGGAAGAGACCTTAAAAACCTTAGATCCAAATCACTGCCATGTGCAGGGACACCTTCCACTAGACCAGGTTGCTCAAAGCCCCGTCCAACCTGGGCTTGAACACTGCCAGCAATGAGGCAGCCACAGCTTCTCTGGGAAATCTGTGCCAGTGCCCCACTACCCTCACAGTGAAGAATTTTTTCCTAATGTCTAATCTAAATTTGCCCTCTGTCAGTTTAAAGTCATTCCACCTTGTGCTATTACTACCTGCCCTTGTAAAAAGTGCCTCTCCAGATTTCTTGTTGGAGTATTTGAGATTTTTCAGTATCTCCCTTTCCCTACACTGACCCATACACTGGAGTCCTTCCAAATCAGTTGACATAACTGGCATTTTCAACAGCATCATGTGCTAATTAGACGTTTTGGACAGAAACATTTATGCAAGTGCTGTGAAACTTGGTCAGCCTCTCTCACTCTCTTATCAAGGACCAGCTTAACCTGAAATTCTGAAATTGCCTTCACAGAAGAAAACAGGAAATAACCTACTTTTAGCCTCCAGAGGATCAAGGACAAATTACAAGTGTTTTACAGATACAGTAGCTAAAACCAATACACATCTTCTCAATTATTTTAGCATCAAGTCAGCTCCTATTAAATCTAGCACTGGGTTTTTGTAATCCAGAAGGTTTTAATGTTTTATTACTGATCTTCCTTCTCTACAGTCTTAGCTGAGATAAGAATACCAGAACACCTATGAAAAATCCTAATACGAAGAACGGGAAGCTTTGACAAATTACAGTGTGTTTCTGGAAGGTGATCTAAAAAGCCAGAAGGAGGAAAACAAACAAACAAGCCCACCAAAAACTACTCCTTTATATCATTCACAGATGTGAAATTAATAATTCATAATTATCAGGTGGTCAGAATTTTTTTGCTCCTCTTCTATGTCAAAAACGCATTTGAAAATTGCCCCTTAAGAAATATCTTAAAAATCAAGTCTCAGCTACCTAGCAACTTCCTTCACTGCATTAATGAAGCTTGTAAAAAGGATTTTTATAATACATCCATTATTGAACTATTTCTGAATTGCTGCAGAATTCATATGGCTGCCAAACTCATTAAAAAGTCACAAAATAGGAAGTCAAAGAGCAGTCACACTTAACTATGGATGTTATGACCACCAGGACACAAGCCTTTTTTTCAGTATCCCCCTCTTAGTCTGGACTATACAAAGGTCAGAAAAACACTAAGTAAAGCTTCTGTTGACTTTGTCCTGCTTTTATCAACTCTAAGGACACCCACCTCAGAAAATAATCCATTTTGTTCCCTACTGAAGGTATAGAAGGCAGAAAGCCAACAGTTGGCACTTTGTCACGTAACTACTTTAATAAATTATGAATAGGCTCTTCCTTTTCTTTCTACAGTCATGTTCTGTTAAAACAAAATATTATTGGCCCAAAAGATTAATACTGAGAACAGCAGAACATTTCTGTTATCAGCCTTGTAATGCTATATGCTGTTCTAGGGAATACAGAGACATAAGTAACTGCTTAAACTAAAGCAATTTGCAAAGCACACTGTTCTTCACAAGCAAATTGATTGTATCCTCCCATAAGGCTAGACTAACAGTTTTCACCACCACTAACTTGTCTCTACAGCACTAGTATTTGTCTAAGTAATACAAGCCCACAAATCCCACCAGCCATAGAGATCAAGACATAAAAGATTAGGAAGGAAAACAGAAAAAGTACATCCTTCAGTCTACACCAGGGAATGACAAGCACTAAATCTCAGAAGCAGTCCGCTAGGACATGCTGTGCAGCATTCCCCATAACAGAAACATACCTAAACTGCCAGCTGAGAGAAGCTGAAATGCATGTTCAGTGGCTCTTCATCTCAAGTCCTACTAGCCATCCACTTCCTTGTTTCAAATGCTAAACTCCCTTTCCCTGCAGGTAAAGGCTTACCAATACTCTCAGAACTGACCATATAGATAGTCTCAGCTATACTTACCTTTGCAGCACTGCATGGCTTTTTAAAACAGCTCCCACTGCAAGACTGGGAGACACAGATATATCTAGAACAAGCAGGAGTTAAAGACTAGCTAAGGGAACCAGAGGCAGTATTTGCTCTCAGAAGGCACCTTTTGCTGCTCAATTCAATTATCCCATTTTCATCAGAAGCTCTGCATTTTACAAAAACTCAGAAACATGCAGACGCTTGTGGGCTTGAAGTCTCCCTCAGGGTAACAGGTTCCAAAACCTAGTATCACCCACCAAGTATTTTGCACAAGGAATGAAAAGAACACAAGTGCCTTTATTAAAGTGTGCAGAATTATATGAAGAAAACATGCCTGTTTGTTCAGATATCCATAAAACCTTATTTACAAAAACAAATTTATGACAACATTTTGAGAAAATCTTACCAGTCAAGCAATAAACATCCATCAGTAAGGAGTTAAAACAGGAACCTCACCAGACAGCTGTCATTAAAACATATAAAAATCCACTAGGAGTTCCTATCAACAAAATGACCCTTACCTAAAAGGTGTAGAACTGCTTAACACACTCAGTGACCTCCTAATGAAAACTGTAGCATGTAAATTGTCATCCTCTAGGCCTAAACACATCAGCACAACTGACTTTGGCTTCAAGCAAGGAATGTCAATCTCTGCAATCCTCTAAGAAGATGCAACCAAACAGGTTGGGGAAAAGAGCATTTAATTTGCTTAAGAGGAGAAGAAGGAAAATTGAATGGATATGAAAAATGGCTTTAGCACACTTATCAAAGTCAGCCTTAGCCACACCTTATCTTGAATGTATGCAAACAACCATAGCTATATTTAGAAAAACAACAATTCATGTTGGCAAAGACAGCTATACATTTACATGATGTATTCAAATGTAAGCAATGTTCTAATGACAGGATTTCTACATTTAGTATAAGCTTGGTTTTCAGCATTAGATGAAGAAACATGAATGCTAACAATTTTGAGAGAAAATACAGCCAGAAAGAGGAGAATAAGAGAATGGGGAAAAAAAAAATAAAAAAAAATGGAAAAAGCCTTTCCTGCAGCAGGTCTTAACATAAGAGTGCAATGTACTTTGATCTGCTGGCAGAACACTGCAATACCCATTTTAAGTATTTGGACTTGACTTTCAGCCCCTTCTGCAAGTAAATGGCATACTCTCCTGCTTACTGCTGTCTAAAGGTACCTTAGAGCCAATGATTACAGCTCTGCCTGTTCCAACACTTTCTTCCTGTAAATAGTGCCTGACTATTTTCTGTTCTCACAAGGGCTTAATTAGTCCTGTTCACAGAGAGCTGCAGCAGCTGGCACATCCCAGCAGACTCCACTGCATTTTCACAGCTACTGAAATCCATCTGAACCACACTGCAAATTTTTCTACACGGACAATTACAAGTTCTGTAAACGTTTTATTTACCTATACTTTTGAAGACACCTTTCTGCAAGTAATTTAACCACAAGGCAGGCCTGAGAAGTCCCAGAACATTCACTGACACATAGACACAGAAGGCTGAAGAACGTTGCTGCGTGGCCAGAAAAAAGTCTCTCTCCTCCACTAACAAAGCAGCAGAGAGATATGTAACTCTAGAATACAAGAGTAATCATGGCTACATGCAACAACAAATACAACTGCCATCTTATTTTACACCCATCAGCCCTACAACATATTTCATCTGCTCAGGAGACCATTAACCTACAAATAACCCAAATGAAACCTGAACAGTAATTTTCTTCCTACCTTGGCCATATCATAATTCAAACAGATGCCACTTAACAAAAACCAGTGAAGGATAAAGATATTTCCATGAGGTTCTGAAAATTCCAAAGAAATTATAATTGAAAATTATGCTAAATCAGAAGGCAAACTGGAATTAGGCATACAACGTTTCCTCTTCAAAATTCTGAACACCTTAATTTTACAGACACCTCCTTGCTTCAAGTTCTTTGCTACTTCTCAAATCAAGCCGCAGCATAAACTGCGGCACCTCCTTTCCTGAGAGAGGCTGGCTCCTTATCACCACACCAGCTGCCACATTGTAACATGGTGAACAGTCTTCTGTATATAAAAAATTGCTACTGTGTCCTGAAAGGAAACCTTGAGGTTCATCTTCACATTGGACAAAGATTTTATTTTTATGTCAAACTGTTGAGACAGACTTTCCAGAAAACATTTGTAATCACTGGGCAAATTAAACTCCAGCTCAGTTTTACAGTTACCTGATAATAAAAGTCTGAATCTCTCACTCTGCCAAAAAGACGGCACCAGGACATTCTTTTCAATGCACTGCAACAGGAGCTATGTAAAAACAATTCACCTCGTGCTTCTTCTTAGTTTACATACTGATATGCAGCACCCTATTTCAGAAATAAAATGTTCCGGTAGTAGCAGCATATTCAAATAAACAAGTTAAAAAAGTTTTCAAAAATCTGTCATCTGAAGAAGCCTAACTAGTACCTTGTTTGCCTCCATATTCTTAATTTTTGATATTGAACTTGTCTTGACAAAGAAATTGCTTTAAAAAGCAGAGGCAGACAGTCACCATGTTAAGCACAATGAACTGAAATACAGTGTCTTGTAAAAAAGATAAAGGCATTTAAAATAAGTTTTGTCAGAAAATGATAAATTTAGTCTTCTCCTTAAACACTGTCCCAAATACTTTTTCATATTCAATCTTGTGCAACATCTTTTCAAATGCACTAATACCGTCTGCCAGAAAATTCACAGAATGACTCAGACATAGACACTTTCAAATCATAAATACTCTAAACTGCTATCTCCATTTCAGAACTACTTCCACTTAAGCATTTGAATTGCTGATGGCATAATAATCCAACGACCTCCTGAAGCTTCCTTATCAAGATTTTCCTCATGCACAGACAGCATCTCCACTGACGAAAGCAAGCCTTGTTTCTTTGCACAGTGTGTTGGACAGCACGGTTACACAAACAGAAACCCGTAACACTTCCAAAATGTTGAGAGCCTAATATTTGAGCATGTTTTGTACATGAATGCTTGACACAGCTCCTTGAACATGCAACTGAAGACATAAGATAACAGCAGAGACCCAAGCATTAAAGTCACTGGCATTACATGCCCTGCCAATTCCCATTAATTCTCATTCATGACAAATCAACAGAAAACTCTCACCTAGAGCTTTGCAAACTCCAGGTTTTTAATCCTGTATCTGGGAATCGGGCTTCAAGTCCAAATCTCACCCACATTGCCAAACCACCACTCACTAGTTACTTGAGCAAACCAGTAGTAATGCCACCAGTTCAATAGCACTGATACAATCCCATCTGTGCAGAGACTGGGGTGGGAGAGAGGTAAGGGAGAGCCCTTTGTTTATATACAATTTAAGCTCCTATATTCATCACATTTCATTTTTATGTTTGAGAAGATATATCTAATAGATAAGAAAATTCCTTCAAGGAATTTTCACCATGAAAAGCTTTGTTAAAGTATGCCAGAAATGCACTCCTGTCCTTCACACCAGATTAGTTTTTTGTATCTGATTTATACTCAGAAAGCATAATTTTGAAAACCTGGATTGAACTGGGATGCAGCTTTTAACTCCACCATCACCAATTCCAATTCAGTTCTTCACATGAGCAACTATTCTCCATGGTTTTTACCACAAAGCTGCCAACAACCTTATCCACAGGCCTGCTCAGCCATATTCAGTTGTCAGTTTAGGCAAGCAAATCATTTCCATATTTGACCAACTAATCTTACACTTCCAACATAACAAATGAACTTATTTCAGGTTTCCTACTATATGAAGACTGTGAGTGTGTGTTAGGATTAAGTGTCACAGTACAGATGAAGCTTACACATAATAAGTTATCCCTATTGCATAAGAGCCACAGCATAAAATCTTCATAGCTGGAACTAGCTAATACCCCTACAGGAAAACAAACCCAGAACACAAGCACTTCCTTTTCTGTATAAACAATATTAGCTCATAGCTGAAGATAACAAGGGAAACAGGCTGTGTCTTATGACCATGCTGTGCCCATAATTCCATGACACAACATCTACTTGTGTCAATCATAACGATATTTCCTGCTGTTACAGCAGCTAATCATCAAATCTGAAGTAGTGTCAAAGTTCTGTAGAAAGCAAGCACTTCGCAGCTGAAATACTACAGAAAGGCCTCTGAAAGCCAAGAGACTGAATATTGAGAGAGAGGACTGTCAGCTCTTCCCTGGCTTCCACAACAGATCCGTGAAGGCCAGAGCTGGGAACGAACCAGGAATTTAATACTCCCTGACACAAGGGAGCGAAAACAAGAGTTTGTATTACACATGAAGACCTCAACTCTTGAAAACCAGGTTATGCCCAGAAGGGTTTGCCCAGAGGACCTGGCCAATTTTATAAGACCTGGCCCATTTAAAAAAAATACGCAACACAGTTGTGATACACCAGACAATTCAACTGCCTGAAGAACTTCAGTGCTGCACTAAGAACAAAATGTACCGTTAAATAAGGAGTAATAGCAAAAAGCTTTTCTGCTATGTAACAGGTGCACACGCTAGTTTATGTACACAAAGTGACAAAGCCTGTATTTCAAAAAAGTTGTAATTTAATATTAATGGTTTTCTTAAACAAATGTCACACACATATCTACTAAAGCCACTAAATCAACTGACTTGTATGGCTACGACAAAAAGAAGCCAACACTGCCTGAAAAGCTCAGCAAGAACAGCTGTCATATCTTCTTTGTCTTCTACTCGATTACCATATGTTTCAACACCGTTGTTGCTCATCCTAAGCAAAGGAGAGATTAACACCCCACTCTCTCAGTGAAAAAAAAAAACAACAAACAAATAGAACACCACTAAAAACAACACACACAAAAATAAACTTCTTAAAAAGTTTATTTAACTGTCACTTGGGAATATCCGAGTTTATGGTTACGCTGGTGCTGA